AAGTGCATGGTTAATGGTTGCAAAAACTGAATTGAAACAGTTCCTTTGCGAATCATCAATTCGGTGTTCCGTTTTTCGCGCGTCCCCAAACTTAGTCCTCATGAAAACTAAATTGGGTTGATAAGCAAACAGACATTCACGCACTTGTGCAATTGGCTCTTCCTTTTTGGTGCTGCCGAGTCCCATTCTGGTTAACGTTTTCAGCTGAGGTGTGTTTCACCGTTAGTGCAACACGTTCGCATCAATTGTTAACCCCCGGTCGTGTTGTGGATGGTTGAATCGAGTCGAGCTCGAAAAGATGAGGTGCAAAATTTTACAAGCATGGTTTAATGGTTGGAAATATGATCGCGGAATTGTTTTACTTATGCTAATGTCCACAGAGGAAGAGAAGATGATTGACTTGGGGAAACTCATTTCTGGTCTTCGACAGTATAGTATAAACCATTGGGTAGAGAAGGCGGTCTATGGCTCATCGGTTGGATCATGCGTTGTTTAATCGAATACTCCACATTCCGGGTGTTCAATACCCCTTTCCTGCTGATGACCTTATGTACAGTAGTCCTGGTATACTTCATCCACCTCTTTATGGTTAGATTCAACTCAGAGCCCTCCAATTTCGATGGCTGTTCAACGTAGTTCAGTGAAAATGACTGCTACGAAGTCTTCCCCAGTAATTAGGGACCACAGGTCATTCGGAGGCCTTTCGAGAGAACTCTGGAACGAGTAAATCCGTTTACCGAAACGTCCGCCATACCAGAGGACTGTCTTCTGCAGATCTTATCATAGTTGCGATTGAGTCCCATGACGCATTCGCGCAGTGCAAAAGTATTCCAACTGCTACCATTCTGAAGGTGGAAGAACAATCTTCACCGAATTTTGCTATGCAAGCAGCAGAATGGAAAACACGTGGAACAACTTTTATGATATGAGTATAATTTTTACCGTAATATTTGTTCTTTCTTTCAGAATTCTATCTTCGACGTAGTTAGCGAGGTCGTTTAACTCGAAAACAACCAGTTGGCAAAAAATCACAGTTTTTTGTGGGCCTACATTAGGGGATATTGTTGTCCGTTATTAAGTCAAGTTCAAAGTTTTATTATGATTATCCGTTTAACGAACCCGCTTCGAAAAATAGTGCTTGTATCTTGGACGAGTCAAGCTTTGGCCCAGTGTCATAATCGCTTGAGCATTTTCCATTCCGAATTTCCCACATGGCGCACCGATCCACAACTGATTCTCCTGTGGTTATTCTCTACGAACACTTAGGCTGCATCGGATTCGGAACTTACCCTCCTCCTCCTGTACCGGCCACGAAAATCACGACCGATCGGGTTCATTTATCGATCGGTCGAGTGGTTCAGCCACAACGGGGGACCTGGTGCTTGCCGAGCTAACCCGAGCGAGGAACCACACCTTGTTTACAGCCCTAAGTCTCAGTCAGGCCCATTGAACTTCGACTGTGTAGCAGGAGCGCCATCAGCACACCGATGGACTAGACGTGCAAAACCTACAAGCCGGTAATCAGACAGTCTCGTGTTAGGATGAGAGATTTTAAGCGCCACAGATCGCGGAATGTGGTCCAATCAGATCGCAGTAAGGGTCAGAGGGAATTTACTTGTTTAAGATCACGGGTGAGAGGGACGAGACGATCGTAAACGGTGGAGCAATCGCACTATATATGTGCCTCATTGGGGGAATCTCCCATCTAACTAATTTGCAATGGTACCTGGGTTTTGCCCGGTTATTTCTCTTCTCATGTCTCTCTACTGATTTGCGGATAGTAGTCACATAATAAGTCAATAAATGAATCACATGAATTTACTTCCGCTTAAAGGGAACCAATCCCTCAATCGCGTCTCAGTGGAAACACCGTTTTGCTGTTGAGTCGTTTTCTTGTCATGTCATTTATCTGTTTGAACAAACACGTAACTCCCGGGATATAGGCGCGATACCTCGGTAAAGGACTTCATGGGGGGACAAACTGCCACTTGTCAGATCCTTGACTGGACCACCCCAGTGAGCGTACGAAAAGAGATTCGGGGTTTTGCAAATGACGAAACTCCTATCCTAATGAATGGACCACGGATATTGTGATTCTATTTATAACCTCTATAGGCGTAAAGCTTACATTTCAGTTAAATATGTACAAATCAGAGAGGACAAGAAGAAATAACTGAAGTTAAAACAACTTTTA